CAGAAGGACAGTATGTGCAAAGGCCCAGGGGCAGGAAGGGCATGGTCTCACTGAGGAACAGAAAGGAGAAAGATATAGCTAAGGCAAAGAAGTGGGGAGGTAGGACAGGCAAGATGGGCCCAAAGAGGTGGGCAGCCACCTGGTGAACCTATTAAGGGTGTTGGTCTTTATTTAGTCTGAGGGCAACGAGAAGCCACTGAAGTGTTTCAGCCAGAGGTATGGTATAATTGGCTTTGCATCTTTATAAGATTCCACTTTTAAAGGGCTTTAAGGGGATAGGGACTCGGGTGATTGAGAGTAGATGTGGAGAGATCAGTTTTTAAAAAGCTGATGGAGTGTTCTAGGTGAGAGGTGGCGCTGGTGTAAACAGCTGTGATAACAGTGGGGGCAGGGAGAACTGGGCCGGTTCGAGAAATAGTCCAACAAAAAACAATGGTGATCTAGCGCCTCTTGTATTATCCTGGATAGAGGTGGAACCCATTCTACTAAGTGAGGTATCCCCACAATGGAAAAACAAGCACATGTACTCACCATCAAATTGGTTTTAACTGATCAACACTTCAGTGCGCATATAGTAGTAACATTCATCTGGTGTCGGGCAGACGGGAGTGGGGAGGAGGGGATGGGTATATACACACCTAATGGGTGCGGTGCACACTGACTGGGAGATGGACACGCTTGAAGCTCTGACTTGGGTGGGGCAAGGGCATTATATGTAACCTAAACATTTGTACTCCCATAATATGCTGAAATAAAAAAGAAAAAAAAAAAAGAAATATTCCAGAGCTGGAATGGTCAGGGATTAGGGATTGATTGGATATGGGGCTGAGGCAGAGGTGACCTCTAGGTGTCTTGCTTGATGACAAGGTAAAGAGGGGGAACTGAGGTTGGAAACCTGCGAGGGGAAGCAAGTTTGGGTGGGAGGGGAAAGAAAAGAAAGGAGTTAAGATAGATGAGAGGGTTACTGAGTGTGAGATTTCTGTGCATCTTCCAAGAAGAGCATCCACTAGGGCTGTGGTCTCATGCCCCAAGCCGTGGACTGGTACCGGTCCGTGGCCTGTTAAGAACCAGGCCACACAGCAGGAGGTGAGTGATGGGCAGGCGAGTGAGTGAAGCGTCATCTGTATTTACAGTGGCTCGCATCGGCGCATAAGCTCTGCCTCCAGCCAGATCAGCAGTGGCAATAGATTCTCATAGGGGCAGGAACCCTACTGTAAACTGCGCACGCAAAGGATCTAGGTTGCGCTCCTTATGAGAATCTAATGCCTGATGATCTGGGGTGGAGCTGAGGCGGTGATGCTAGCACTGGGGAGTGGCTGCAAATACCGATTATCATTAGCAGGGACCTTTGACTGCACAATAAACGTAATGTGCTTGAATCATGCCCCCACCCCTATCCTTGGAAAAATTGTCTCCCATGAAACTGGTCGCTGGTGCCGAGAAGGTTGGGGACCGCTACAGTAGGGAATTGGAGCCATGGCTGGGGGCTGGAGAGAGAGAGAGTTTCGAGAAAGTGATTTGAGAGTCATCAGATGATCACTGTAACACACGAAATGGTGAAATTCCCTAGAAAGTGTATCCAGGGAGCAGTGAAAAGGGTACATTCAGAATGGAGTCCCCAACATCTGAGTGGGGGAGGGGCAGCCAGAAGGTTCTGGAAAAGTCAGGAGTGTGTGGTGCCACAGAGGTGGCAGCCAAGCCAAGATGTGGTCTCCAGAGGGAAGGAGTGGCTCAGCTTATAAATTAAGGCTGAAATAGGAAGGCAAAAATCCCAAAATGTCCTTCCTCACCATCCCCTGAAATTCCTCTCTTAACAGTCTTTTCCTGACCATGAAGCCCGCTTCCTCCCTGTGCTCTTCTTTTAAGGTTCTAAAATGGTGCCATGGGGGAGATGGGGAGCCCCAAAGGCCACGAGCGATGACATGTCTTGCAGAAGCCTTGTTCAGACACAGATGTGAAAAGTGAACCATAGCACCAAGAATGGTCATGGTTAATAACACCAGCCCCACTTGCTGGACTCTCAGACTAGGCCTGTGCCACACTATTACCCTGCGTTATAATCTCATTAAATTCCCGCAATGGGGGTGATGGGAGTTTGGTGCTGTTACCATCTAAATTTTACAGTTTTACAGAACTCACAGCAGTGAAGTGTATGTCCCAAGGGAGGCCCAGGGCTAGAGTTTGAACCCAGGCCTGTCCCGCTGCCGAGATGGCACCGTTAGCCTCTGCCCTCTCCTGACGGGTCCCCAGCTGTCCAGCAGGGGCAGTGGTGCATCTCCACCTGCTAACCACCTTCACAGGCTGCTCCCCGTCAAAGCCTCGGGACAGCTGTCCCTGGCGGTCACCGCAGATCTGAACTGGGGTTTCTGTGGATGTGATGGCAGGTGCAGAGCTGAGCTGGTCCCCGAGTAAGG